GCTAAAAAACATAGAACTTTCATGATGTTAGAAAAACACATAGGTTCAAGAAGTCTTGAAAGAAATGAATAAAAACCCTATAACCCGAGCGCTTTCAAAAGGTGGACCTTTCTTCTTCAGGGGTGAACTGAAGGGTTATAGGGTTTTTATTCATTTCTTTCAAGACTTCTTGAACCTATGTGTTTTTCTAACATCATGAAAGTTCTATGTTTTTTAGCCATATTTGTTCAGTTGTGCCAGTAAATGTGTGATTGTTATTGTGAGCATTCTGTTATATGACAATAAAAAAAAAGATAATTTTAGGACAGTTAAGTTGGCTTTAAATAAACGTTTGAACTTTCTAAAAATCCAGTTTAGTTTCTATCATATTTTAACCAAACTTATTTTACATGTAAGTTATGGCCATACATCTCAGAGTTCCCCAGTGGGTTAACAGTAAGTTTATGGACTTACAATGCTAAAATCCAGGGTTCAATTCCCTTTGGGGACAGAGTGTAGATAGCCTATTGTGTGGCTTTAAGCTAAAACAAAACATGTCAAAAACCTCTGATTTTCAATATTCAAAGTTGCTTTAGAGCTCAGAATCCACCTGCCCAGTAAGTGGAACTAAGGAGTGCTTATGCTATAAACACTGCAGTGTATATTTGTATAGTTTTTGAAATTTACTCCTTTATGATCTTTATGTTTACTAGCAGATATACATATCCATACTAGTAAGCAAAAAAAAAGCTAACATAGATATTTTACTGAATTCACTCATATATAGCATAGTTCAAGACCTAAAAGTATGTCAATAATTTATAAACTGAAATAATAGTAAAGTGCAGCAAGTTCATGTTAAATAGATATGAACAGTTATGGTTTGTTTATTAAACAGAGTAGAAAATCAAGCAAAAATTATCATTATTATCTTTACATATTTATATTATGGTAAAATATTTTTCTAAATCTAAACATTGTACGTAACATTGGAAGCTGAATTCCAGAATCACTATTAGGTGCACATTACTATTAAAGACTGAAATTAATCAAAATTAAGTCACATAACATTTTAAACTATAAAATAATTTATTTGTTTATAACTCTAAATTGCCATGGTTTTGCATGAAATTGAATGCTACAGAATAGAATGAATAATGTGGAAAACTTGTATTACCAAACAAACAAACAAAATATTTTCCTGACATACCCTTTAACAAAAGATTTTTAATATTTTTTAATTAATTATATGTAAACTCACATTGTCAAACTAAGCTTCAAACTTTTTTTTGATAATATATGCAAGTAGAAAAATCTTTCATTGTCTTTTTCTTATGTGGTGTTACAATCAACTAAAAACTTTAATTGAAATATAATCTAATAATGCTTGGAGACGGCTTGAATGGGTAATGAAGAAAAACTTTAATATAAGTTTAACAAAACAGCAAATGTATAACATTTCAACAAGGTTGTGTCATCATCATCGAATTTGAATAATCTAATAGTTAAAATGAATCGTAATCACAGATCAAAGAAAGTTACTGTGCAATAAATTAGTTCACCTATAACTTGTTTTTATATATATTGTTCTTTAAAAGAATTCCCTAAACGTATATACAATCTGTCAATATAGGTTACAATTTCTGTATACATCAAGTAGTTTATGTAAGATATCTTCTGATAAGAAAAAATATTTTTTTAATGATGAGAATCTGTCAGACATTCTGTGGGAGATGATAATTGAGAAATGTATCCCTTTTGTAAAATAATAGTTGAATACAAAAGATGTTCTGTCTTAATGAATTATTAAATTAGTTAACAGTTAATAATCTTCAATAGGTTACATGTTATCAATCACCATGATTACATTAAAGAAAGAATGTTGTATATGATACATACACATGCGGGTGTGTACAAACTAAGTATTTTTGAGTAACAGGGTTACTCATGTATGTTAAAAATGACATATATACGTAAGAGCATGAGGTTCAACTTTTGACAGAAGTTGTGCACTTGTGTGTGATGTGTCAACTGATTGGAAACACATGCTGCTGTTTTTCACAAAAAGCAGGTGTGACAGTTTCATACAGCATTCTTCCATTTTGGCTTTGGAAACAAGCAGTAAAATTTAGAGCTCCAGTTGTACCAAGTTCCATTACAATACATTCATTTAATCGAGAAATTAAAATGTGAAAAGGGCAAGATGGTTAAGGATACACAACTTGCAATCTGTGAGTTGATGTTTCAAATGCTCATCATACCAAACATGTTCACCCTTTCACCCATGGGAGTATTGTAATGTGATGGTAAATTCCACTATTCATTGGTAAAAGAGTAGCCCAAGAGTTGGTAGTGGATGGTGATGACTAGCTGCTTTCCTTCTAGTCTTTCACTGATGAATTAGGGACAGCTAGCTCAGATAGCTCTCATGTAGCTTTGCACAAAATTCAAACCAAATCAAATTTTCAAAAACAAGAAACATAATGTTTTGGGTAGCTACTACTAAGTTCTTCTTTTTAATTATATATACAGAGTTTCTCTGAAATTTCTAACTGTATGTTTTTCTTGTTTTGAAATTTAGAATGTCTTTATTTTTCAAGAGTTCTGAACACATAATTCAACTGAAAACAGTCTTTAAAGTTTTTAATTGAAATTATTCTACTATGTTTGTTTGTTAGAATTTAAAAGTGTTTTTTTACTATGCTTGGCAAAAGAGTTTACATTAAAAATTATTTCACTTAAATATTTCCCATTCTCTCTGCAGTTTCTTTTTTGTTGTGGAACCTACATTCTTGTTGTTGCCTTTCCTTTTTTTTGTGTAAAGTAGCGTTCCACATGCTGACCATAGGTAATTAATCTGTTGTCAAGTTTTTAATTCTCAGTTACTTTCTCATTTTTACCTATCTATAAATTATGAGATGAAGAGGGGGAGTTTGTTTTACCTGAGTACCCATGTCCACCCAGTGTTGTATTGTTAAACTAAACAAAATGTTTTATTATTTTATTACAATAGGTTGATGCATGTTATAATTATCCAAATATTTCAGTTTAGAATCTTCATCAAATGAAACAATCAAAGTGCCGTATATTTATAATAGGAACATACCTGCCATTGACTTCAACTGTATTGTAGCAAGGTTTCAAGCCTATTCAGTGGTATTTTCTTATGTTGTTTGACTTTCACTAGCACTGTACAATTAAACAGGATTTAATTCCAATATTTACATATGTCATGAGCATCAGTGACATAACTCTTAACTTTGTACAATTCTTAGAGTTAATGCATTGTGTTTTTAGTATAGTTGCTTCTGTTGTTTTTCTGGCTTTTTTGTGAGTATAATTCTTTCTTTGTTCTGCAGAGACAACTGATGTATGCAAGTCATATGAAGACTGTGGCTTTGGCTCCATTTGTGTTGGTGGAAACTGTCAAGGTGAACATGTTTTTTCTGTGTTTTTTATAATATGTAAAAAAGTAAAATAAGATTGATTTTCTAAAACTATATCTCATTAAATTTTTTGAAATAACTACAGTTAAGTATTTTTTTCTTACCTATATCTCATTGAAATAACTACAGTTAAGTAATTTTTTCTTATACTCCAACCATTCGCATCAGTTTTGATCTTTCTTCTATTCTCTACCAAATAAATGTAATTTCATATAATTTCAAATTTATTTTTTCCATTTATGCAAAAAATATTTATTTATTCTAAATAACTACTTTAGACTTTTGACTTGTGTATTAAAACTTGTTAAAATGGCAATGATGGACTTTTTTTTTGCTACAGAGGGTTGTCTCAGTGACAATGACTGTTCTTCTGATCTGGCTTGCATAAGTCAACACTGTCAGAACCCTTGCACAATTCCTGGTTCTTGTGGTATTAATGCAACATGCATTAGTGATTTTCACAGGCCAATCTGTAGTTGCAAGATAGGTTATGTGGGAGACCCGTATGTGAAGTGCACTTTAGGTAAGATTAAGATAATACTTATACCTCTATATTGCTAACTTATCTGTTTAATTAACTGTTTTTTGAACTACTATTAGAGCAGTAACCCTTGGTCTAGAATTATGGTTTATACATACAATTAAATCACTACAATAAACACTGAACAGGCTGTTAGTATATGTTATCAGAAACAAGTTTAGCAGTATATTTAATGAGGAGAATATTAAATCAATAAAATGTGAAGAGATAAAATTATCAGGAACATTTTGTTGTCTAATATCAAAAGCAGATTAGTAGTTATTATTGTTAATATCTCACTTTTCTAGAATAATTAAGTTTTCTTCTTTTTTTTTAGGGAATGAGAGCTATTGCACTACAGATGCTGTCTGTCCTATACAACAAATCTGTGAGAGTTTCAGCTGTGTTAGTAAGTATAAGCTGTTTATTTTGGAAAAACAGTTGCTCTTTAGCAAGTTATCATTATTATGTCCTATGTAGAACTTGAATATTTTGTTTTTAATAGAAGTATATCATTGTCATTAAAGTACTTTTTTATTTCTTTACTTTAATTCATTCGTAGGTGTACAAGATTTATTGGTTTGTTATTAGAATTATTATCTTTACTGATATACTTATACTACATACTGATGAGGCAGGATATATAATATTAACAGAATAATATTTTCTCTACTTCATTAATTATATAACAGTAATAATTTGTTAAAATAATTAACTTTTTTTTCTTTTGTCTTTTTAAAGTTGGTTGTCGTAGTGATCACAACTGTGCTTTTGAAGAAGCTTGCATCAACCGCATATGCCAAAATCCATGTAGTGTTTTTGGTGCTTGTGGACGGAATTCCATATGTGAACCTATCAATCACCAGCCAGAATGCTCTTGTCCACCAAATTTCCGTGGAAATCCTAATGTTATTTGTAGCAGTGGTAAGAGATTATCTTTGTTGATTTCGGGATCTACTTTTTGTGGTTTTACCACTATAAAGGTCTCAAGAAACCTCTGACAAGTAATGTACAATTTTAGTAGAATAAACATTCTTTGCTTAGAAATAAAAATATGCTTAGCTTAAATAAACTATAGAATTAAGATATCTCAAATAACACCAATCTACAAAATGTATATGACTATCCAAAATTGGGAAAGCCAATTTCAAACTCTAGTTGTTCACAAAACTTGTAAGTAGAAAATTGTACAAACAGGTTCTTGACAGAGTTGTATCTGATGTTATAGTTATATATTCTAAATACAAAATAAGATGAAAATTACATGTTGCTTAAAAGTCATCATTATATTGATCAAAGATTCTTGTTTTGTTTGCTATATTTCAAAGTTTCTGTAACTCTTAGCCTTGATGAATACAGCTCTGTATAAATCATGAACATGTTACTGGTTATTTGTTATATATTTTCATTTTAAATGTGTTTCTTCTTACAGACAGAGATGGGGATTGTAACAAAGACCAAGACTGTGAGCTGGGGGAAATCTGTAACAACAACCTATGTATTGGTAAATGAATATTCTTTCTTTGATAGAAAGCTGAGCTAAGACACTCCTTTATCACCATTTTTTATTCGAAACTTTAATAATGTTTATTCTATGTAAAATGTTTTTAGGAAAACATCAAGAAGTATAAAAGATTAATTCACTGTGTTATTGAGATATCATTGGTTTTTTTTATTATTCTGTTGTACATTTACTAAATTATTATGTTAACAAATATTGCAATCATATGAGGTGGAAAAGAACTTTTTTTAAAAATAGCATATATCAAATCCTATAGTGAATAGTACACTAATATGTTTTCTAATTTATTGATTGGATTACCTTTTAGAATAATTTTTTATGAGTTAAAAATTACATTTCTGGAACAAAATATTTCAATTAAGTGTTGGAAATTTCTTAATTTATTAAAATATTAATTTAACTATCAGTAAGTGAAAGAAGTCATTTTAATTAGTTTAAGCTGATGAATAAAGAAACTTGCTAATAATTTTTCTCCAGACATTCTGTATGCTTGCATTAAGCTATATCTTGATTCATTTACTATTTGTGTAGTTGTCCATAGTCATTTGATTTATTATATTATGTGCCTTACTAGTGCCTTGTGGCAGGCATATGACATTAAATAAAAGTGTGAGAACTGTTCATATTAATACACAACTTTTTTGTCTTTTGTTCATTTCCATTTTCCCAATTATTGTTTGAAATAGATTCACCTTTTATTATTTAAATGCAAAAGAAAATAACTGGATAACTTTATATAAACTTTTTAAAAATTAAGTACTTGAAATATTTAATAATAATACCTTTCAACCACCAGGTGGTTGTAGAGATCATAACAACTGCCCAAACAACAAAATTTGCTTCAGTGGCCAATGTCAGAATCCATGCTTGCTTCCAAACAGCTGTGGGCAAAATGCTATGTGCCAGCCAGTCAATCATGAAGTTGTATGCAGCTGCCCAGAAAATTTTATTGGTAACCCTTATGTTAAATGTCATCCAGGTTTGTATCTAATATTTGTATTATCCTAATTCTACATGTTCTTTTTATTGATTTGTTTGCTTCATGTATAGGTTGTCAAATTTTTTAGTATTAAAAAAAAAGAATATTTTATAGTACATAAATATTTCAATGATAATTTTTAAATTCAACCATTTTCCTAGGTTTTTTTTAATATTTGATAGTAATTCCCCAAAATTCTGAGCATATAGATATTTGCTTCATGTACCTAAATATATATTGTTGCGTATCTGCTCGTTTGTTATCTTCCGGTATAAATTCTTTCTGAGGAACTTCGGCGATACAAGTCCTTTCTTAATTAAAACTGTTTATACTTTCTTGAT